AAAATACCATCTAATTTCATTCTAAGGGTATTTTAGACAATTGAGATAAATTTAAAAAAGGAAAATTCCATATTTTTTGGGATAATTAACTCTCTTGATTTTAAAATTCTAATTTTTTTAATTACTTTAATTTTAATAATAACGTAATTTTTTTAATTAAACCCGATTTTATTCTGTTAGAATCATATTCTCTACGAATTTCAGGATAAATATTTCTATTAGAATGATATTCTATGAGAATGCCAACACCGACTAATAACACATTTTTGGATACAACTTCAAATTTTTCATTACATTCTTAAAAAAGTAAAAACTTTATATAATAGTCTATGACAATGAAATATTCACTAATAACAAATAAAAAATATGTATATTATTCGACTGGAATATTCTAGCAGAATATATTATTACATATACTCCTATCATTCTATTGTAGATTATTATATCAAAAGAATAACTCTTTCCTTGATCATCCATGAAATTAGACATTTAACGAAAATAACTGCCATGAATCAAATCATGTAAGAATAATATTCTCTGAGAATGCTTAGAATCACTTTCAAATTTGCGGTCCGTTCTTCAAGCATCAACTTCTGTCAAAACAAAACCAGATTGTAGTTTAGATTCCAACAGAATTGGAATTCATGATTCCATTCCAACAGAATCGGAATTATGTGCATCAACAGAATATGACAATTTGCGAATAGGTTCACCATCTCCAATATCCACATCAAACACGTATTTACAAGTTTTTGTGGTATCAGTACAAAAGGGCAAAACTGGAAAGATACTTGCTACCCTTGTAATGCGAAAGTAGAGAAGCATATCCCTCAAGTTCTTGGGTCTCAGCTATCAAATTTTTATGTGCAGTCCAAACACGTGCAACCCCATCCGATCTGCCTTCGATCCATTCTTCTTCCCCTTGATTAGACTGCCGATGACGAACAATGTAATAAGGAGGGGCTCGCCAAAGATCGATTCCTACCCTCGTTCATAATCTCCAGCCACCGCCGGAACTTCCATCGACCGTAACTACTTCACCCTCCTTAATCTGTGGTTGCTAGAGATGAGATCAAGAAGGCCTAGGGCAGATCATCGAAGATTGATGGCACCTTACCTCGCGAGCTGCTTCTGCTTATTTGTCGACGAAGATCCCGTCGATTGTCCCCATCGAACGATTGATCCCTTAGCTCGATCTAATGAGCGGTTGAAGAGGAATGGGTACATTCAGATTCAGAAACCGATTTCAATTATTGATGGGGATCGGTGGAAGTGGTGAGGCGTTGTTGTAAATCGAGGTGGCGTACGTCGATGGAAGTTTTTTTATGGTGGAATAGAGTTTTTGATAGTGAACGGCCGTGTATATAAGAATGAGAAGAAATTAGGTCAAAGTCAAAATAACTAGCATAATTATAGGAAGTATTTGTGGAAGTTATTTATAAAATTACTTTATTACCCTTATTTAATTATTTAATTATTTAATTTTTTATTTAATTTTGATTGGCTCATATTTATGTATACAATAACACAATAATTAGTTTAAACACCTGACCCTAGCTATATATATATATATATATATATATATATATATATATATATATATATATATATATATATATATATATATATATATTACATGACGTATGGGTTGCGATGATATGACAACTACTATTTTAATTGCACGATATGGCGTTTCATGCTAAACGTGGTAAAAGCTAGCACCACAAACGATATAAAATGGACACGTTTGTGCTTGAATAATTGAAGACAAGACTGGAGTTAAATGTTTCGTGGGTCACTTTCATTTCATTGGACGATATATAAGTGCATTCCCTTAACATATTTAAATTAAACTCTTCAAAGACATCATCATAATGTGATTTAATTAAGTATAGACCCATTTTCAAAGCTAAAATTGATAAACTTAGAATAAATTACAATTTATTATGATATGTAAGAATTATTATAGCATTATTGATTTGGCTTTATTAGCTATTGTTTTAAAAATATTGTTGAAATGATTATATATCAACTTATTAGAATCTTTAGTTATTATTATTAGGAGATCTCTCAGCATGTCGGCTTTGGACAGATCGAATTGAAGTGATTTCATTTCAAAATTTATTTTATATATTTTTCGAAACCAACAAATTAAAAAAAATATTAAATTTGTTATTATAAAGTATGTGCCCTTTTAATATATTAATAAAATCCAGTTAACCTGCTCTAGTGGTTGCTACCTCTTAAAGCAACATAGAGGTTTCGAATATCCAATAAATTATCAAATACAAACGTACAACAAAATTTGAACATTTCGTATATGATATTTTGAAGGTTCGATGAGAAAAATATAGTCAAAACATGAAAAGTTGGAAAAAAGAAACATGAAAAGTTGATGAAGTATATATTTGATAGCAATATATAATGATGACAAAAATACATTAAATTTTGTTGGTTAATAATAATATCCTAATGAAAGGGGCACAAGCTAGCGTCATATCATATGTCTTTGTATAACTTTTTTGTTAGTATTCAATCATTTCGATGTTAGGTTCATGTAATCATGTGGTCAAATTCCAGCTTCATTGCTTCATATACTTTTAAGCCTGAGTAAAGCCTTTTGTTAAAGAGATGGAGCTAATCAAATATTCAAACATGTCTTCTTCAATTATCACGGGCCAATGGTAACATTAAATTGGTTTAATTGTCACCAAGTAGTTATTTGAGAATGAGGTATTGAATGAAAGCTTATTAAGATTATATTTTAGAAGCATATTATTATATTTATTATTTATTATTCTCTTACTTATGATAAAAATATATATAGGATGGTTATTGTTTATTATATTTATTGTTTATTATATTCCTTTAATTTTATCAGTTAGACACTTCTATTTATAAAAATAAAAGTACATTATGGATTTAGTTTTAATCAAGTTAACTTGCATGAATGATAAAATTGTATCGTGTGGCGCACTTGATAACGTATGGTTTTAGTTTTAGTTTTAATCAAGTCTTTTGCAAAGAACGGGAAAACTTCACCATATCTTCACCTAATGGTAAACCACCTTCAGAAAAGAATGTAGAAATACGAATAAAAATTTTCGGTTCAACGGTATCCTGTGTTGTTTTTTTTTTCTTTGAGATGGAGGCCCGAGGGTTCAAGTCACGTCTGGAATATAAGTGACATTGAAAATACATTTGTATTTCAAAAAATATTACTCTTTTTTTAAATGACATATATAACTGACATATATAAAAGGGTTGAAAGGACCAAGAGTGTCGCCCTATAACGGGACGGGAGATCCAAACGACCATGTCTCAAACTTCCGGTGGGTCATAAAGATGATCCCAATGGATCCAAAGTTGTGGAGCCCGTACTTTGCAGGTACCTTAGACGGATCCGCTCGATACTGGATACCAAGTCTTCCACCTCAAAGCGTAGGAAGCTTCGAAGAGCTATGACCGAAATTTTGCGACAGCTTCATTCAACAAAGGAGGTTCCAACAGAAAGAGCATGTGATATTCGTTTGCCGCCAACGTGAAGGGGAATCGAATAAAGAATACTTTAAACGGTTTAATGAAATCAGCAGAAGGACGCCGACGAGAGACGACCCCATGATCATAGCAACGTTCACTTATGGTCTCTTGGAAGGAGAGTTGTTTCGGAAACTAGTAGGAAGGAAGTGGTTCAATCCCGAAGAAATGATACGCAAAGTCAATCGATTTTTAAGGCAGAAAGCAGAAAGTGTAGAAAAAGAAAGGATGGAAGGAAAAGCCATGGTGGGAAAAGGAAGATTTGAAGATCGGAATAAGCCATATTCACTTTCATCTGGCAATCAACCTCGATATAATCATAATCGAAGGTTTTCCTATAAGGGGAGAGGTAGAACGACCGCTTCCATCCATATCGACAGGAGGCATACGAGGCGTATACTCCACGAAGCCCGAACAATGGGAATACCGATAGAAGTAGAAAATACCCCCAGGAACCAAACAAATACTGCGACTTCCATAAGAAGCTAGGTCATGCTACCGAAGACTTTGAAAACCTCAAGAGGAAAAAAGAGGAAACCATTCACTTAAAGTGGGGGACCGACTCACAAAAAAGGGAGAAACACAGACATACGATCCTGAAATCACCATGATACGAGGAGGAGGTGGAAACAATGTCAAGTCAATAAAAAAGTGGAAGATAATCAACATTGAGTTCAATTCTCACGATCTGATACCCTTCGATCATCAGGGAACTGAGCCCCTAATCATTAAAGCAGTGGTGGGAAGAACTTTGATTCGAAGAATTTATGTGGATAATGGGAGGTCTATTAACATCATGTACGAACACTGTTCAAAAGGTTTGCTCAAGGAACATTTAGATTCATGATTCAAACAAAGATAAGATTCACAAGAACACACGAGGTAAATAAGATTTCTCTTTGATTAACGAGTAAGTCAAAACAATTCGATACAACAGTATTCTATGTGAAAAACTCTTCCCCGTTCTTCTAACCAATATCCCTTTATATAGGCTTCATAGGAATATTAAAAAGTCATCTCAAGTCAACAGCTAAGGTGTGAACTTAAGGTAACAAAAATGTGCGGGATCGCAACATGACTCACACAAAGTAAAGACAGTATAAAATGCGAACAAATCCATTACAAGTTGACACAACACAAACTATGAACTCTACAATCTCCCCCTTTGTGTCAACTGGCAGAAGTTGTCTTTACTTTCGGTTTCTTCACAGCATCAAACACATTTGTCATTGTCTTTAACAAAACAGAACGAAAACCGATCAGAAATGCATCTCACATCATCAGAAGAATTGATGTTGAACTTCTCAACATTTGACATGATTTGATTTAAACCCATAGACGAATACAAGTGCTTATCTCTCAAATAAAACATGCACTTCTTCAAAAATTCATTTTCTTTCACTTTGAACAGCACTCTCGAGTATTCGTTTTCAATAAATCTAGTCTTCAATGAATCAAGATTTTTAGGATTCATCAGATGAAATCTCTACATCCATCTTCGATATTTCAACGATATACGCCTTAATCAATCTCTTCATATGCGAACAAATGGGTTCATACATGGCAGGTTCATTTGAAATGATGTTGAGAATTGAGATCCAATCAAACGGATTCATCAGTGGAAGATCAGCTAGAGAAAACTCATCGACTTCATGACTGTGTAAGTCCATTTGACATTCCAAATCATTTTCAATAGAGAATGAGGTTTGAGGCTCCAACCAATAAAGTTTTGGACTTTCGATAGGTTCATCTTCAACTCTTTCAAGTGACCAAGGAGGAAACAATGCTTTCTTGTTCGCAAGAGTTGCTTCAACATTTTTCTTTTTAGCTTCCTCAGCAATAATCTTCGCATTTATGGCATTGAGTTCATCAAGCAACGCATCATATTTTGCTTGTTTGGCTTGTTGTTCCTTAGTCAATTTTGGATTCAATTCATCTTCCTTTTCAGACACAATCTTCACATTTCCTATCCCTGAACCAAAAGCTATATTACCCTTTTGGCCAGTTTTCTTTTCTTTCAAATCATTCAGTTTTTCTTCCAAAGTTATCTTCCCCAAATGAATTTTCTCATTATTCTTTTCTATTGGACCAGTTTGATAAGGATTGCTGATGTTGAATTCTGAAAACACTCCTCCTTCTCCCTCTTGTTGCGAAGTATCCATGTTACTCTTAACATTCGAAATACCATTCACTTTGAGAGAATAGACATCATTTTGCATCCATGAGTTGCGAAATGTAATCTGCGTAAGGAGCATCTTTTGTTTCAACAATTTTGACTAATCGATGGTTGATCTGAAACTTTTTCCCTTTCACCAACAAGAGCTCTTCGTTTGTTTTTTCCAAGATCAAGAACAGTAGTCTTCAATTGTTCCCTTAGAACCTAGATTTCCGTGGTTGAGTCAGCAAGAGCATCCATTACTTTGTTCTGATGAGCAAGACTTGTAACGCCCATGTTTCTAGGATAAACATTATTATAACGATGTAATAGTTAGGGTCAACAATTGTAACATATTTTGAAGTAATGAAGAAGAATTATTTTAGTATTATGTGAATTATGTGATTTTATGTGTTATTAACGATGTAATAAAATAATAATAAAAATAAACGTCAAATATAAAGTAATAGATAGACCCAATATCAATGAAGAAAGTTGAAGTGTCCGTAACAAGGATTCTGGGGATATAAGTAACGCTGAAATCCGACTTATAACGAAGAAGTTATGACCTGTCAAAGTTTTGCGACAAAACCGACACGACGCTGTGAATCGTAAAAAGTGAATTTCTGATAAAATATTTTTTCGCCTTAGCAATCTAAAAACAAGTCGTAGTATATGGTAAACCAAGAGCGTGCATAAAAAGAATGTCCAAATCTGAATTCGTATAAGGAAGTTGTGATTTTTCTAAGATTTAACATAGTATTGCATTACCCGGAATTTGAATTTTAGATCGACCGATTTTTAGCCGACACAACCTAAATGATAATTGAAGATCATTAATAGGAACTCAACGATATAAAGACATACGAAAACGGACGTCGGATGACAAAGTTATGATTTTTTAACGGACTTTATCTAAGCCTATTAAAATATAACTTTAAAAATAAAGTCAAAATTAGCCGACAGAGTCTAAACGAAAGTTGTAGATTACGTCGCCACCTACGCGTGGATATAAAGGACGTCAAAAACAGAGCTCGTATGTGAAAGTTACGGAATTTAGAAGTTTAGCATATGCTGATGCGAAGGTGACACGTGGCTGAATCTGGACCATTGCTTTCTCCCCACGGCCTTGCATGCGCAGATGACACTTGCCGCCTCGTACGCGCAACGTGCTGAGTACGCGCTGCGTACTCTGAAGCTACGCCCAGCGTAGTCTGAGGAGTTCAGCTATAAATAGATGCGAGGGCACCCTCATTTCTTCACACTTTTACCCTTCTTTCTCTCTCAATACTCCAAAACTATCCCTCCCCTTCCCTAGCACTTCCCAAATGTTAGAGGCGAGTCCCGGAGTGCCAGAAGGCTCTGATCAGAAGAGATTTCGGCTCAAAAGTTTTGCCCCCGCAGAGCCCGGTTCCTAGCTAAACCCCCTTGTAAGTGTGTTATGCTTACCCTACTTTAAGTATAGCTTATGCTTAAGTTCAATATCGTTATTATGAACCTATAAGCAATTTATGTGCTAAGTGTTATTATAATATCTTTTAACTACTCGTGGTACGGGGAATCTGGTTTGAAGGGTCATATAGGGTTGTTGGATTTCAGAACAGCTTTAATGCCAAAATGGTTCTGCCCTCCGGTGTTTCATGTTTGGCCCTGTCTGTACATAGTAGTTGAAAAGTGTTGTTTAACACTTGTAAAACAATATCGGTCGTAAATAAACGCAATAATATTAGACTAAAATCTAGTGGTAATAATGTTATGTTTCGTCGAAGGAAAATAAAATTGTTAGAAGCGAAGCGCTGCTCGAGTTTAGAGTCATCACTTTAACAAGTGAGTGCATAGTTACTTTCATCTTACACATAGATATGAAGTATTTAATATAAATTACGTGCTATGTGTGCATATTATCTGTGTTCTTGATATCTATGTTGGATGAACGATTTATACATGTTTTTATTCGATTTAAAGTTTAAACTGTATATGTATTTTATACCTATAATTATGATGGGTAAAGATGGGTAGATGGAATAGATGATGAGCGATGAAATAAAATGATGAGAGGCCTCAATGTTTAAGCTGATTTAGTCATCTAGCGGAGTATAGATGACAACCACAAACTATTCTTGATAGTCTAGTGGAACGCTGGCAGGCTCGCAACCTGTAGGTGTTTGTGAACGATGTGTTCACCGGTGTACTCCATCCCTCTCATGGTTGCCTTACTGACATATATTGTTGAGGAATACCCTAAGCAGTATTGTCATTCCGATGATGATCCTTAGGCTAGGTCCCTTGAATTAGATACTTTAGGGATAGGAAGTGGGGATAACGGGAACGGGTAATCGGGTTGATTGATCTGATGAAAATAATAAACTTAATTATTGTGGGTTGAAAACCTTATGTGCTCACCAGGCTCCCAAGTCTGACCAACTCAGTTTCTTGTATTACAGGTAGTGGCACAAGAGCATAGATGCGATGATCTGATGAGGGATTATGGATTATAGGCCAGTAGAAATGAATAGAATGTTGTAAGGCCTATGTTGTTTCTGTTTATGCTTTTTATTTATATTGACAATGACATCCCGAGATTTTTAATATAATGAAAATACATTTCTTCGGAAATGCTTTGATAAATTCTTTTTCATATTTTTGGGAGCAAATTAAGCAACATATTTCTTCAAAAGTATACTTTGATTTTCAAACAAAACATAAACAAATCGGTCTTTTCTAGCCGTGAAAATGGGGATGTCACAGTTGGTATCAGAGCATTAGTTTAAGCGAACTATGAATTTGTAGGATTTCAAGATTTAAACTTAGAATGTTAAGCGATGATTGTGAGATGAGTTTCTGCTATATTTTAGACACAAGCATTAGTTTATTTTAGGAAAGATGCCTATAAAATACATGTCATATATTAATGAAAAGGCACGGTGATTGCAACGGGATTTTTTTTCAAAATTAGGTTGCTTTCATTTATAAAATATATATAATTCTTTTATGCAAATGCACTGTATAAAATTATCATTGTAATGGATATTTTAAAAGATTCTTATAATATTACATATCCTGATTAGGCAACCTTGATACAGCGGTTGAAAGGTGCATACATCTCATGAATGAATATAAGAAATAGTTTGTCATGAAATAATAAAAGGAATATCACCCTATTGATACAAATGGAAAATGCTATTCTTATCGACTTAGACCTCACATATATATCTCATATGTTCCAAACGTGTATTGTCCAATCCATCTTTCTCCAAAGTAAATATGTTTTACCACTCTTCGTTTCTACATGAATTATAAATTTATAATGTTTATTTGGTACATTTTCCTTTTCAATATTTAATTTTAAATGATTAAACCTTCTTTTGAAAAATAACTTTTTATTTTTAAATCAAGAGAAAACGAACGTGTTTAATAATATTCTTTCTTAATCATTTTTGTGTTACAAATATGACAAAAGAATCGAGTCTTTTTGGCTTTTGCTATCAGTTTACGTTGATATTAATTTTCTTTTTGAAAATTTGTAAAATATTGTGTTTTACTTCATGCAATTTCACTTGCTTAAAATTGTTAAATATGTGCAAACATTTGATGACCTATGTTTACTTTGGGATGTAAACATAGTTGTGATAGTTAAAAAAATTAATTACAAACATATATTAGAAATACAGTACCTGCTTAACTATTTGTAAAAAAACATGACAAAGGAAAACTTTAACTATGAACTAAAATCGCTATCATAAGCCCTAATGATTATAATCGATGTCGTTGTTTTGAATCTGAACTTCATTTTTTTCTTGAAAAATACCTTGCATCTTTTCATTTTTTCCGAAAAATGACTAGGTTTTTTTTTCCAAAAAAAACCCTTAACCTTTTAATTTTTTTTGAAAAAACCTCAATATTTTATATTTTTTTCGAAAAAAAAAAGAAAAAAAAACCCTCACATTTTACTAGTTACTTTGGAAGAAAACTACTAAAATGGCGAAATCAAAAAAATAGAAAAATACAAGGTTTTTTTCAAAAAAAAAATAAGGTTATGGTTTAATCAAGAAAACACAAAATATAAGATTTTTTATAATATTAACTTTTGTTATAAAATTCGGATATACAATTTCCCTACGTAATAAATTATTTTCATAAGTACGAGTAGCATCCACATCACATGAAAATACAAATTGCACAATAAAAGCGTTTTGTCATTTAGCCGAAGTACATTGGAACGAAACGTTTAAAGGCCTGTGTAGTAGACTTTTGATTCAATAAGGAATCCGAATACCTAACTAAAATAGGAATACAAATTTTAGAATATATATACTCGAAAGTGACTCCTATACTTAATAAATCATACTATAAAAAGTATGGCTTTCTATCTCTTTCTTTTAAATATATCCCTAGTAAATTATATTTTTTCAAAATTGCAAGTTGGGTACCAAATATATTTTTCTTGCAATTTTCTTATCTATTTTAAAGTATTGTAATGACTTGGGTTGCCGGTTTAAAAACAATTAAAAGTACAACCTTTAAACAAGCTTACAAAAATAAAATCGTTACAATAATTAAAAATTGACACCAAATCCAAATGTTGAGACTAAAAGATTGTTCGATATTACAAGTCTGTTTGACTGCTCTGAATTTGACTAAATAAAAGGCATATCATATCAAAAACTTTCTCTAAAACAGGACCCACATATGTAGTTTTAAATAGCAGCAATCAGACTCTACAACCCAACAAAATTCAGATTTTTTTACGACATGATTCAAGATAATCAAATTTCATACTCAAGGATAATGGTTGATAATAGGTTGAGTGTTTACAATTTTCAATAACGTACCTACTTAACCTTTTTATCATATCAAAAGAACCAAATGCAACTTTTAACTGTGGACTGTTTTCACAAGTGAATGGAGATGTACTTGTAGTTGAAACTTGAAACAAAACTTTTTGATTCATGAAATGAGTAGTAAATGATAATACCTTATAAGTGTTGCTAAAAACAAGATTTAAAAATCAAACCAACAACAAACTTTGACAAACTACTACACTAAAATCTAAAAACAAACTATGCAAAATGAAGAAAATCCAAAAACCAATAGCAACAAACAAATCCCATATTGATTTGTGGGGTGGGGTGGGGAGAAAAAGTTTTTTTTTTTTTTTTTTGATATTATTTTACATGGTCATAGGAATCCCAAAGTTTGGATTCAGATGTAAACAGGTTTGACATCATTTGGACCAAAACTTGCAGCACAAAGAGGACACTTGCGATGCCGTGTTTCAATGATTTTCTGAACACACGTGTTGCAAAATAGATGATAACATTTCGTAATCACCACCTGCCAATAAAATTAATAACTGGACTATTAACTTTTTTTTTTTTTTTTTATAATAATCAGAGGGTATTTTGGTCTTTTTAGGTACCTCTTTTGGCCTGTCATGGCAAACGCTGCATTTGAGTATTTCTTTGTATTCTTTGAGCTCCTGTTGAAGCTTTTCAACAACCGAAGACCCGTCTAATTGTGATCTTAGACGTGTATGCTTTCTTCTTGCGCATTCCAACTCCTCTTCAACTCTCTTTTTCTCAAACCTATATGAAAAACAACACAACAATCAAGTCTTTCTTTTGCCACTCTTGGGAATGGAATCAGCAAGGGAATGGAATGAGCCATTCATTCCATTCCTTTTTTACCTTTCTTTTTCTAGGTGGATCTGCAAATCCATGAGATTGACTCGACTTGTGTCGACCTTGCTCTGTGATTCATCCAAGGACTCTGTTAACTGCTGGGATGTTCTTTTAACATCGCTCAGTCTCCTTTGAGTATTTTCCAAAGCGCCTGTTTTTTGAACCCGTGTTTCAGACACCTTCTCGACATGATCTGAACATGATTTTGTCTGTTACATAAAACACAAACATTGTATCAGTATCTATCAAGATTGTCAAGTCAACCAATGATGGAATTCTCTATTAACTAATAAGTGGTGTTGTTCTTTCTGTGCATTAAGTGAAAAGGGAAACAGGGTTGTTTGGAAGTACTAAGTAGTGTACCTGATCTTCGATTCTTTCTGCTTTTGTTTCACAGAAATTAATCAATGTGTTGCCCTGTTGGATCTTCCTTTCTGTGGTTTTTTTATCCAGGAGAAGAGAATCATTTAGCTGTCTTGCACGCACTCCCTCCAAAACAAGCTGAAACAGGATGAAATACTTGTAAATATTAAAACATGATTTCCAAGACACGAAATACAGGAACAAAAAGAAATATGATAATCAGGGCATACAGAAAGTAACACTAATTGCAAGCAATAAAAACACCAAGTCTGTTTGGTTGGATGGGAATGGAATGAAATGAATTTTCATATGAAACTTTTATATTGTATGTCAATACAAGGTATGGTTTCAACACGCTCCTATGCAGTATTAAATTAGAAGTATGGAATTTTTATGTAAAAAGACAAAAAGAAGAAATATCATAAAAGCTCATTAGAACGCAAATAACATAACACTATCCTATCATTGTTTTTTGGAAACTAACTTTTCAAAATGTCTAGAAGTTGCCAAGTAACCAATTTTATGTTTTAAAGGGGTAACCGACTCATGTTTTCTGTATGGTTACCTTCTAACCCAGGTTAAATAGGTCACCCCTCTTTTTCAAACTTACACTTTTGGCCTAGACTTTAAATTTTATTACAACTTTGGTCAGATTTTAAAACTTTGTTACGAATTCAACACAGAATCTTTTTTATAAATTTATTTTTTTAATGGTTTATGATGTTTTTTTCTTAACTTTTTTCCCAACTTTTTAAAAGAATATATTTTACAATACTTCTTACCTTTTTTTCCAAGTTGCATTGCCTCATATACATTAGCAAATCAACTTTTTTTCCCACTTTTGCATTGCCTCATACATTAGCAAACCAACTTCTAAAAAAAATATATATATTTTACAAAATTCTATGTGTTATTTCATCAAAGACAAGTGCCGCACAATCAAGGAGAAAAATTGGTTTGCTAACGTATATGGTACAATGCAAAAGTTGGAAACAAAGTTAAGAAAATATTGTAATATATATAATATATTAAAGTTGGAAAAAGTTAAGAAAAAAACTTATAAACTATTACAAAAAAAGTTAAAGAAAATTAAATTTGTAGAAAAAACCTCGATTTGGGACCAATTTGTAATAAAATTTAAAATTTATGCCAAAAGTGTAAAATTTGAAAGAGCGTGACCTATTTAACCTGAGATGTAAAATCTGTTATCTCAGGTAACTATACAGAAAACATGAGTTGGTTAAACTTTTAAAATATAAAATCAATTACTTTGCAACTTTAAGACATTTTGAAAAGTTAGTTTCAAAAAAACAATGATAACCCTAAAGAAAGTAATTTCTAGTTACTTTTACAAAATAAAATTACAATTTAATTAAAATCATGGCATTCTTAAAAGATGTCATAGAATATTTTCTAAAAATGGGTTATATTAAAATTTTCATTCCATTTAGAGCTAAGCAAAAATAAAACCGACAAACATCAAACCCAAACCGTCGGTTTTAGGTTTAGATTTTTACAATAGAATGAATAATTCCATTCCTTCTCCACTTAACACTACCTAAATCTCTTTTACAAGACAAATGCATAGATCTATATTTGTAATTTAATAGTTGATTGAAAAGCTAGAGTAATTACCTTAATGTTATAGTCGTCTCTCTCAGTTATTTGCTGCAAAAGCTGTTGATTTTGAGTCTGGATGTCATCGTATGCCTGCCCAATAGTCTGCATGCACACAGAAGAAACCAACATCATTGCAAATTTAGAATTAATAAATAAATAAATAAATAACAAGATATCCATCAACTAACCTCAATCTCAGAAAGGTAAGCCTCATTTTCCTCATGCTTGGACTTCAAGACATCCGAGAGTTTATATTTTTCCTTTTTAGATTTTTCCAATTTCTGCCTCAAATCAGCAATTTTAGCTTCTGCAGCAGCTAACATTTGCTGAGATGCTGCTTCAGCTTCAATGGCTGTCTTCACTCGTGTTTCCAAGTTATGCTCATCAAGGGAATAATTCAAGCTCTGAACATGAGCCCATGCCTTGTACTCACAGTTCCTAGCCTCAATAAACTCCCTGTAAATAATAAACCTCTTCAATTAAAGCTAATAATAACAGCTACCTACCAACACCACCATGCTCAAATTTATTAAAAAAAAAAAAAGTTGGTTAACCTTGAATAGATTGTTTCTCGCCTATGCACGTCTAAAATTAGCTTCAATTCTGAGTCACTCTCCTCCAAGTCATGTATCTATATCAAAGTTCAACTGATTTAGACAAAATAAATCAATTAAATATAAATCAGCAAAAACTTATAAGTACATTGCTATTACAGGTAAAAACTAAAGTACATACCGTTGCATGCAGTCTCTGTATTTCAGCAGATTGGGCAGCTGATCTACTAGATAATGCTTCCAGCTCTTTCATCTGTGAAACAACAAAAAACAAAAAATCAAAAAGTTTCAGCTTTTTGATTTTTTATAAAATATAACATAAGCATTGACGTCATATGATGGGCCCACCTTCCTATCAAGAATGGTGGAAAGAGATTGAACATCAGCACGCAATGAATGAACATCTGAAGAAGCCTCTTTGTGTTTTCTTAATTGAGTTTGCATACTTCCCATATCTTCTGGAAACGAAGACACAAAAGTTCTAAACTTTGCAATGATTTCTTTTCTACCTGAAACAAACGTAGACATGGTATGCAGCTTATTGTATGAGATTTCAAAAGCTTAAAAACAAAACAGTTTTAACTTTTAAGTTATCTGTGTATTATATCTATACCAGGTTCTCTAGAAGCTTCTTCTAATTTAGCTTCGATTAACTTTCTTCCATCGATTTGTTTTTGTATTTCCATCTTTAGGTCACTAATTCTAGAATCTGAAACAGAAGAAGATCGACGCAAAACCTCCCCTATATCATTCTTCATGTTGGCTTCTTTTTCCCTCCACCCAAGGTTGTCTTTCTCAACCTAAATATTAAATACATGGTATTTAGTATGGTGTAAAAAAATGAGAACAAAGGGAACTAACTACCAACCACTGACAACCTGCAATTTCTGGAATAAAGCTTGATACTGGACTAAATCTCCTCTTGCCTTAGCAATCTGATCTTTCACTAAGATAAAGGCTTCAGAAGAAAAAATCCCCTTCGAATTCTTTAAGATATTCTGTAACATAAATTTCAACAATCAACAACATATGTTCATAAAACGGGTGATGACATAGAATACCATAAGATCAAAAACCAAAAGGCCAACCTGCAAGCTGGATAATTGTTTCAATATTTCCATTCTTTCTTCATGTAAACGCTTAAGTTCTTGTTGTCTCGAAGAAGCTTGATCCTGTTCATAATGTTAAACCACTGTTTATTAGTATTACTTTACTGTGAAACCAGAATATAAAACAAAAAATAAAAAGGGACACTATTAAACTACCAGTAATTCTTTTAATAAAGACTCCATATCATGTAGATCCTTTTCTTTTTCTCTTGCCCTATCATTAGCAACTCGTTTATTTCCAAGAATTACAGGGAAAATTGCTCCTTTTGCAGCATCTGTCTCTGCTTTCAGGACAGACAAGTTCTTGTTGCTTTCTTCCAATTCTGCAATTGTACACTCCAGCTCCCCTTCAAAAATAAAAAATATCATATATAACCATTGATCTCAAAGTTCAATGTTACCTATGATGTAATCAATACATTGATATACAAACAAGAAGCATAAATGACATTAATACAACAGGAGATGTCCCTTAGATGCCAAATTCAAAGTTCAATAGACTGCAGGTTTAGCTTTATATCAGGCTCCTGAGTTACTAATACATCTTTCAACATGAAACAGCAATGTACTTTTATTGATTTGTTTATTAAAGCATCAAACTTTCGTTTCTTCCTATTACAGCATTGCACTTTGAGAAATCTACTTAATTGTAGCAATGTCATCCAAATACAAAGCAATTTCCACTGCTAAAAAGCCTAAAATTGGTAGCTATTTCAAAGTACAATGTTATAACTAGGTAACTTTTCAAAGTACAATGCATTAATATGAAAAAAATTGCACCAAAAAAGATTAGAGAAATGGAAAGTTACCCTTCAATTGTCTAAGCTCTGATTTATTCTTAGCATCAGTATCTCGGTGGAACTGCATATCTCTTGCCAAAGATCTGTGCTTTATATGCATATCACCAATTGCCAATCTCAAATTCTTCACTTCCCTCTCTAACTCAATAGATGAGTCTGGTCTGCATGACCCTACCCAAACAACAATATTTGTGAATACAAGTTAATAACCAAAGCATACAGCATATATGACTTGTAAATCAGTGTGATTAGTCTTAGAACCTTCTGGAAGTTGCTTTATAGCTTTGGCATACAGTCCATCCTCCATGCCCCATAGACCATCAATGGCATGAACAATATTGCAGAAAGTATTCTGAACTTTGTTGCCACCTGTCTCTCGATTTTCTTGCATTTGACTTGGAGTGCTATTTGCAGAGCTACTCTCAGTTGCACCTTTTTCAAGAAGTCGGTGAAGAAATACATCCTCTGGAGGTGGTGATGCATTATCTGCCAAGAAATTTATATACTTTAAGTCCATTAAACATAGTTTGATGCTGATTAAGCTACCCTTTCAGTCAAATGAAAGAGAAAAGGTTTGACAATTCTTACCCCCTGCAACCAGATGATGTTTGTTACCACGATCATGACTCAGCAGATTCTTTGTGCGAATAGAGCATGACTCTACTTTATCAATTAGCTATTAGAAAGCCAATTAAATGTTTATCAAACAGTTGATATTTGAGTGAAATATAAAAGGAATGGGGTTTTCAAGTGGCTATACCTCGTCCCAAGACTTGTCTACTACTGCTAAAGTTTTGTTGTATGGCAATTGTTTCTCCCTAAGTTGACTGAACTTGTTCTCTAGAGCAACACATTCAACCTTTTGTGATTCTAACTTCTGAACAAGCTTTTGATTTTGAAATTTCAGTACCACTGTGTCAAGCTGCATGCCAAAGAAAACACATTTCTCAAAAGTGAGGTACTTCATACAATATTATGAAATAACATAGGATATGCTCCACACTCAAGTATCAAATCCTAATCTTGGACTCTAAAGCAAGAAAACATAATTGCTTCAATCCACTTAATCCACAAACTAGAAGAGAACTGAATTAGACATAAAGCATGGTGAGCTTATATTAATGAACAGAGTATAACTAATGAAAATAAGATCATCATATCATATTTATATAACAAAGGATATCACAAATCAAACATCACATCTGACTCTAACACAAGTGATTATGGAATTATCTGCCTGTATAATATTCACATATAATGTAACATAAAATTAGATATGTAACTATTCACAAGCAAGCAAATTCTAAACATAGCAGTGTTTTGGTTTAATTTAGTTGGGTTGACAACAGTTCCACACAAGTTCCCCAAACTCTTATATAGATGAAGAAACATATGCACTTGTAATCAACTTAAATCAAGAAAATCCCGCCAGATACAGTCCTATAACTCAACTACTTACGCCCTAGAACTTCATCAAGAAATTTAGCAGACAGATCTACCATGTATGTAACCTCTATAGAAGTCTCCAATAAAAACCGATCAAGAATTCAGCATAAACCCTAGAAAACCTAGAGCTATTAAAACCAAAGTAAAAGTAACGATCAATTACCTTTTTATCCTCAGAAGAAGGCACAAATGGATGTTTATTAGCAGCAGCGGTAGTAGGAGACGATATTGAACTGAAGTGACGTTTGCGGTCTGCTTCACCAGTTCCCCCCATCATAGAAAAAACCTAGTCCTATACGACATCAATGAGAAAATGAAACCCAATTTGGTCCTAATCTACGTACACACTCCGACAATCGAGAAAGAATTTGTAAAACTATTAAATTGAACTCCATTTATACATATGATATTATATGCATCATTGAGAAAGCCCTAATAAAGTCGCGGCAAAATCGTTTTTTTTTTAATTACAGAATACAAGAACCCTAAAAAGGTTCACAGGAAATTGAAGGGCGTTTTACATGAATCATGCATATAAAAGTTGCGAACTTCTTCCCTCTTTGGCTTGTTTCTCTCTCTAGTCATATGTATGTGTGTTTGCATATGTGTCCCTGTGTCTCTACAAATGAAGTTCTTTCGATTGAATAGATGATAAAAAGGGGCGAGGAGAATTAGGGAAATATCGTAGGGGTATTGCACGTGCCAACGCCTCAGGTATTTGTGACGTCACGTGGATATTAGTTAGGCAGATGGCTTCAAACTCAAGATGTTGAGGGAGGAAGTAGTAATTATATGCATGATTAGGATCCAAACAAACCAATTTATCAATTAATTTGGATTTGATTTAGTCAAAATATGGTACTCAATCTTGGATAAGATACGAATGAAACTTGTCTATGAATATATACGGTTTTTGTTTTTTTTTTTTACAATATATTTAGACTTTATGCTAGAATTTAGTTTTAATTTTATCAAGTTGTGTGAGTCATTAGAAGGAGTTGATTCAGAAGAGGCTCGATGGATCTAATGTGGAGAACACCGGCACCTAAACTGAGCATGACGAGCTCGGAAGGGCAACTCGGCAGTGGCAAGTCAAGTCTCTTTCTTTTTTCTCCTTTCTTTTCCCCACTAGGCAGCCTACCCTTTCTCTTCTTTCGATATTCTTCCTCCATTTCTTCCTTGTTGGAGCTGAGTTGGAGCTCGGTATACTCAATACCACTCCCGCCCTTAGCCTTAATATATGTTTACCACCTGTGACACGAGCAAACCGACTAAAAAAATAATAATTGACTTTAATCTTGACTTTAATCTTTTGATTATATAGAGGTTAAATGTGATCCTTTGTTGTAGTTCTTAAATTTATAGTAGTTGTAATTACATATGGGATTGCTTAGTTGAGTTTTACGAAGTAAAATTACACATAAGAACGCTAATAATTGTAAATGTTTCAAAAAAAATTCATATGTTTGTTAGCAGATCATCATTAAGTCAATACATTATGTTTTAAAAATATATATAATTTTTTTTATTTATTTCTAGTAAACCACTAACATTATTATAACTATAATAATATTATCATTGTATCTGCTTAATTTTTTTTGTATCTGCTTTTCCAAAAAGTTGGTATGATTATTATTATAACTATAATAATATTATCATTGTTACTATTATTATTGACAAGGTGGGCGAAATACCGACTATCTATGTCCTATCATTTCAAGGGAGCAAAAAAAATTGGTCTATGTAAATTAATATATAATCATTAATCTACTTTATGCGGAAAAAGAAGCGAGAATGAGCCAAATTTAAATGCCCAAGTTTGACACATTACCGGAAGCAAAAAGAAGCAATATCATACATATAATAATCGTTGTGCATAAAGAAGGTGGGTAGATACAACCAAAATGGGGATATCAAAGTGACGAATTATAAACTAACGACCTATGAAGCAATCAATAAACGACATAATGGATAAATAAGTCGATTATGTCGTCTTAATTGCTAAGAATTAACGGTTAGAATATCATTGCATATAGAAACATATTAACCATTTTTGTCATTGTAGCCCTGTAGAGATAAGTTTTTCAAAGTTGAATTTATAAAAGAGATAAGTCATCGATGTCATAAGAAATGTTGAATAATTTGACTATTTTGTGTATGGATAAAGATATGTTATACATGATTATTTTTTCAAAATGACGAAGAAAACTGACTTCCTTGGATTCGAACTCACGACCAACTGGATAGAAGGCACACTACAACCTCTAAACCAATGTTTCTTTTATCTCGATACTATTATTAATGATTTTGTATCTAAAATGTCACATGAAGTATTTTTCTTTAAATTAGTAAAAAAAATTACATTGTTTGATATACTTGTGTCTTTAAATGGTCTTTTTATCCATTTATCCCTAGACCCAAAATATGTTTGCGCCCCTGTAATTCATAATTGTCTTATTTCTAATTTATGTATATTTTATATTTATAAAATGGTTTACTTTTTCAGTTACATTTTGTTGGGTTTTACTCAAAAAAATAGTCTAATTATGGTGTCAAACTTGACGTGATTATTAACAAAAACAATTTTACATTTGAAGAGACTAAGACCAATTTACCCACCAATGATCATTTTGCAAAACTTATGAAGATTAAAACAACCTTGGAAAAGAAGAAGTTTACAACCTTTAAAGACTTTGGTTCATGTTGGCAATGATAAAGTTAATGAAGATGGCAAACTACTCAAAAAATAGTTTCTCTAGAAGTATCTGCCAAGCAAGAATCAACCACCAAAGATGTTAGTCTTCACTTGTATATATGTGGTTCTTAAGCTTTAATATTTATACCAAATAAACCTGAAAGAGAAGGAACTTATATGCACCTAATCTAAGCACCAAATGCAAGAAGAATTGAGGGAGAAAGAGATTGTCATTTACGAAAAATGACAGACCCTTAGAGAGTATTTTGTGCCAAAAAATCAAATCATTTCTATTGTAATGATATTCTTTATACTTACAAACTAGTACATAAGGACCATGTTTCTTTGAGAGTGCAAGCACGTCTAAGTAAGAAGGTATGGAGCGAGTAAGAAAGTCGAACACTCAAGTCTTACACACACATACATACTTACGGTTTTGTAAGTCAAGAAGCAACAAGAAGAGTGTGTTACACACAAACACCAATTAGTTAGTTGTAATCAAACCAAATGATTACTCTAAGTGTCCAAAATGTTTGTACACAATATTAAAAATCAAATCATATGATATTCACTATTTTTTGTTCTCTTTGTTTTTATTTCATAGAAACAATAATTCTTAATATGTTGGTAAAAATATTATTTTCATAAAATAATGTTTTTCCAATTAAATACAAGTGTTGATATTTATTAATAATCAAATTTGCTCTAATAAATAATCAATTAGTGGTAACTTGATATAAGGTGAGACCCTATAGGATCATATGGCATTAGCAATATCATTATATAATGACTCTTGGGCATAAAGATCTTTCAATCTCCCATTGCACAAGATTCGTCATATATTAATCGATATAGACAATGATGACCGTCTAGGAACATTTCACTGCCCCTAATAACATATGACGAAGAATGTCATTCATCAACATCCAATTCCTAAAAGCTCAAAGCTACAATTGATGTATAAGGTAAGTTTATCGGTTATCCATTTGTTATAGACATCATGTTGAACATGAGACTTGGATCGCAATCAATCTTATTTGGTGTTCAACGTTGGGTACCACACGATAGATGTCTAACTCTCAACACATAAGAGGAACAAATCTCATATTGACTACATAAGCCTCTTAAATAGTTCACACTACATTTGAAAATGGCTTTTTATGACTGCTCGGTTAAGGATCAATGTTTGACCATATCAAAGCATAACACTCCCTATATTTAAGTCCCACTATCATATGTATCTCACGTATTACGGATACAAAAGATAGTACATTTTTATCATGTATCACTCATGATATCGATCCATGACATGATATGTATATGGGCCCGTTCAATACCAGTGACAAGTACCTATGAACCTTGGTTACAGTCTCTTGCCCACTTTCATCTGGTGAAAGTTAACCAATCTAATTCATATTAGTCTTGCTTCGTAATTTTCCACACAATTATGATCGACTATGAGATTTTAGAATAATAATATTATTCGTGGATTAAACATGTTAATATATAATACAACAAGTATTTTTGCGAAGATCATATCCCAATATATCAAAACAATAAGTAATAGTTGTTGTCACAATGCTCTAATATATAAATACTAAATCAAAATCAAATCCCATTTTTAGAATAACAAAGTATTATAGTTGAAGTGTGACCATTCATACTTAGCTTAAGAAACGACTTTATTAATGGGTCTGACTAAATTTAATTTGTGTGAATTTTGTGAATACGATCATCTCCATATTTAACTTTATTCTAATTATATTTAAATATATTGCGAAATATGATTGGTGTTCTGATGTGATTTAGAGTCTCTTAGCTTGATTAAGTATACTCATGAACTCACAAAAGATTTCTTTGTGATCCTTGAATGGTAGGATTCAACATAGTTTTTCAATAAATTTATTTATCCAATCATATGTGATTACAACTTCTAAAGTAGTGTATTCTTATTTTGTAGCATCCTGTTCTATTTTGTTTTTATTGGACCTCATTCCAACAAAACCTTCTCTTCATTCCATAATGAAGTCATAATCCAATTACAATATATATATATATATATATATATATATATATATATATATAATAAAGTTAGCATCTTGTATGGCTCGTTACATAAAGATCTTTTTCTAAACTGATTATCTCATATAATTCTCTTAGTTCTTCTCAAGTACTCTTAAAAATGTCGTTATAGTCATCCAGTGACTTACCCATGTATTTGTTGGGTTTTTATTGAAAAATAGTCCAATTATAGTTTAAAAATTCGGCATAATTAAACATAAACAAAGAATAAGAAAGTATAACAACCTTTGAAGACAAAGTAGTTGGGAATTCTCCAAAATCGCACATGACCCACAACAGGTCATGTCATGATATCTGGCTTAACAACCTTCCACTTTAAGGACTTAATTCATTAAGTCCAGAACCTCTAAATCTCATATCTGAATCACACAATGGTCTTAATGGATAAAGTTTCCAACTTTATCCATTCCAATGACTTAATCAAGCAAGATCTTAAACCCTACGTCCATTAATCTCTCAAAGAGGTCATAACTTGTGTATAGACTCAAAAGAACCCTTGCATGGACCATTTTCTCCAACATGAAAGGTCCATAAGCATAATACAACATTAAAGAGCTATGAAGTTCAACAAAATCCAACAACATAAGGATTTGGTGCCAAAAAAGATCACAAGATCATCCAAAACTTAGATCTATGAGATAAAAACATAAAGGTAAAAGATTTATGCTCACCAAGGTCCAACGATGAGAAAAGCTTGTTGGATATGAACTTGAACCACGCATTCTTGCTCCACACATTCTTGCTCCAAAGAACATTTCCATCATATTCAAGCTTCATAAAATGGAAGATAAGGTTACAACTCAACAAAGGGGGCTAGGGTTAGGGTAAGGAATGATCCCAAAACACATAGGTAACACCATTAAACATGGAATAA